ATATATACAGTATAAGAGCATATACAGTACTTTGTATATATGCCATAATGGTTTGTGAAATGAACAGCCCACAGTAGAATATTCATACTTCCATCGATCGCCATCCTCTTGAAGCAAAACAAGTCTAGCCCAAGAACAATTTGTGATATACATTCATTATGGAAGTTTTTCTAACATGCATTTCCTCTTTTTGCAAGATAATGTCAGAAGGGTGCTGGGCAAACTATTACAACATGCAAAAGAAATCTATTTCATGACATAGTGCAAACAGTAATAGTGTATAGTCATTAGCCCATGGTAAATATTTTTTTACTTTTTAAAAGTTTAGCATAGTGAAAAAAACAGCATGTTGTGGTTTGGGGCAATCAGTTACCCTGTATATGTAGATTGAACTAGTATAGTAAAAATAATAAGCTCAAGGGCCACATGTTAGATGGAGAAAAATCTGTTCTGGTTGGTAAAGTAAATTAGAATATTATTATGCTTATACACCTTGGCTGATATACTAATGAAGTTGTGAAAGTTCACTCAAAAAAAGAGCAAAAATTCACTTCAATAACCTAGTCATGTGAAAACCAAAACCTATTGATTGATTTAATCTGCATATTATTGGATACTTGAAGTGAATCTTCACTCTTGTTTTTAAATGAACATTCTCCTTTAGTAAATCACCCTCACAATCTCAATATTTGACAAGGTATTCCTAACATGGTGGCAGTTGGTCTTATCAAAATTGAAGATTTTCTTAAAGCTACACTCCAGATATGAAAAACACAAATTAATGCAGCTCTGTGTTCATCCCTATATCATTAACACCTATTTTTTAATGCAACTAATGTAAGTAACTGTAGCCCCTTCCACCTTAAGTGGAGTGGCTACCTAAATTTAGTGGTGCTGCCACTGTAATCAGTCTGGCTGATTTGTAGTTTGGTATCATTTGGTTGATTTTAGATGTTCTGCTATTGATTGCACCTGTCTGAAGTGGGGTGTGACCCTGGAACAGAGTGGGCTAGCTAATAGGGGAATATTAGGAGTGTCTGTAGCTCCGGCTGATCCTTCGGCTAGCTTCCGCTGCCTGAGCCTTTCGGTTCAGTAGAACCGAAGGTCTGCTGTACGGGCTATTCACTATAGCCCATACAGCTCCTGAAGTTGGCTGAGTGGCTCAGCCGAGCCGAAGGCATATGCTTCAGCTCGACTGAGCCGAAGTGAAACCTGAAGCGAGCTTTGCAACTAACAGCTGGGCAGAGCCAGATCTGTCATTGCAACTGGTCGGAGCCAGCCGTGAGATCACGGCCGGCTCCGCCAAGTTTTTTTTTGTTGGCCGGGACCTGTTTGAAGACTCTAATAGGAAACAATTGTCACTGCTAGCACCGCCCATTTGTTTCTTTCTTTTTTTTTAATCTGTTTTTTTCTCTATTCAATAATCTTTTTTTTCTTTTCCTTTCTTCAATGATCTTTATTGCTTTTTTTTGTTTTTCAATAAACGTTATTGTGTGTTTGTTTTTTTCAATGATCTTTTTAAAAAAAATATTTTATTGTTTTTTAGGAGTTATCATTTATTCACCTTTGTAAACATTTTTTTTAACTTTTGTTTTTTTTTTCTACTTTTTTTCTGCACTGAATTTCTTTTCTGCTTGGTACCACGGGGGTACCGAGCAGAGTAGCCCCTATGAGAATAGGCCGAACGGCAGTGTATAGTCCGCCGAAGGTTCGTCTCAGCCGATCGAGATGTTGGATCGGCTGTATCTATCTCCTTCTGCACTTCGGTTCAGCCGAACATGCTGAACATGTTTGGCTGAACCGAGGCCAGCCAAAGCAAGCCGATGTACGGCTGAAATCAGCCATACAAGCCGGATGTGAATAGCTTAACAGCGTTCGGCTCACTTCACTTCTGGTCGGTTATTCACTCGGCTGCCTACGGTAGCTTTGTGAAGAGTTCCATGGCCAGTGGCGCAAGGTGGAGAAGCGCATAAATACTCAGGAATTGCCATGTGCTCAGGGCAGTCCGCCCCGAGGCTTAGACAAGTTTGGAGGAGCTGACTAGGCCTCAAACCTGGAGGAAGTCACACGTGAACCCAGGTGGGGTCTGGAACTATCTGAAGAGAAGAACCAGAGAAGCCTTATGACTGCTGGAGGTGCCAGGAAGGATAGGAAGGCATGGACCTCCAGAACAAGTCTGGTGTCTCTCCCAGTGAAGATCTCATGCACATCCCCTATTCAGTTGTTGCTTTACTACACAGTGTTAAGTATTCCTGCAGTGTGGAAGCTGGAAGGAATTGGTGCGTCTGGAGTCTATTTTGATATGAATGCTTGAAGCCCTATACTCTCTCTCTCTCAGTCTGGCTGTTCTGTAAAAAAGCATTGAAAAAGTCCTTCAAATGACTGGCACCAAAATTACTGTTCACATCCCACAATCGGGCTAAGGATCCACCTCTGAGATGAAATGTCAGTCCTCCCTAGCCTTGCATGCTGATCCGATTTTTAGCCAAAGGGGGTAAAGGTCTATTTTAAGTAACACATGCCTTTTTACCTACCCCAGCTTGTAACTGGGC